CAAAAGTGGAGAGGGGTTCCGTACCTGTCGACATTTAAGTTCCGCCGCTCGTAATTTTGTGCTCAAGTCGTTCAACTGTTCGTCCCGTTCTAAGACCTAAAAACAACTGATTTCACAAAAAAACGAGAAGCTTATAAGAAGAAATCTTACCAATTTTCGACTCAAATCTAAATCATTGTGCAAAGATTTTGAAATGTTTATTTCCTTCTCAAGTCGTGCACGGAGATCCTCAATTTCTATTTGCTTATTTTCCAAGCACATCTAAACAACTTATTAACTTCACGAGCTTTGTATAACGTGAGTTAAGAGAGACGACAAAGCAAAGAGTTTGGCTTTGTCTTGATGCAATTAAGCATACCTATTTACTCAGGTATGAAACTAGTTGCTTGCAGTAGGAAATAGATAATGAGGAAAAAAGCAAAAAGTTTTTCGCTGCAGCGAAATTTTTCAGGGACAAGAAAGGGAAGGAACAGTGAGAGATGTCTCAAAGGTGAGAGGAAAACTGACCTGAAAAGAGTCACTGCAACCGTTTTCCACACTCTTCAGGGGAGACATGTGTTTTTTCCGAGATCGGTCAAGTAATGAAGTAGACTCTCTCGTTGATGATGAGCAAGGCTCTGCCTGAGATAATCAAAAAACTGGAGAGAAGAGAGCTAACACAGAAAAGTGGATTTACCAAGTCAATTAGCTTCTCAAATTCCTTGCTCGCAGCTTTGGCCTTTTTATACTTCCTTTCCAATTCGATGCATCGCTCCTGCAAGATGTCTTTATCGCGAGCAAGACTTTTTACTTCATGATTCAATTCTGACAGAAGTACTTCTTGATCGAGGATTCGTTCCTGATGCAATCTGAAGCAAATATGACAGATAAGTAAAGCGGTTAATTTGGAGAAAATGTGAATAAAAATTTACATAAAATCAAAACGTACAATTTAAAACAGAAATTTGAAAAGTTTGGAAACAAGATTCAAAGCTGAAAATAGTGATGCTAAAGAGAGTCACCTACCTATAGTCCTGCGCAATCTCCATGAGCTGAGTTCTTAAAGCAATGTTCTCTACATGCAGGTCACTGGAGCGAAGTCTATCCAATTCGGCGGATTGGCGCCTTATAACGTCATTCGCCTTTTCTAAAATGCAAATGACATAACATCTCTTTCTTTTTCCCCTCTCTCTCTCTCTCTCTTGTGGGTGGGGTATGAATGAAGAGCGCCGATGGGAGTACAGATAAACGTTGTTTTCAACCTCAGCATTAGAGTTGTTATTTACGACATACGCTGCTATTGAGCAAATCCCTTCAATTTGAGTAGATTTGCGCAATGGGCAAGTAATGCGACATCTGCATGTAACAACGATATGCACTGCATAACAACATCTCATTCTGATTGAGAGCATAGCAAAAAGTCGTCAGGATCAGTGCCACTTCGTCAGATAGTATCGCTCTGCACAATGAAACACTTTCCACTGAATGATGTAAAGCTAGCACTAACACCTTATTTCGTTTAGAATGAAGAAGCAAAATCCGTCAACAAAATCATCCAGCTAATTTTTCGACATTGACGTTGCACCACTTGCAGAGGTAATAAAAAACATGTGACAGAGGCCGCTAATCTAGAAATACAATAGAGTTGAAAGTAAAAGAACGACCACATTACCACACAAAACAGGAAATAAGAACTTTGAAAGAAACTTTCTATTCAAGAGATACTAATGACAATGCCAGTTCGTCAGGCGAAAATCTCTTTTAACTGGAGATTAGAATGAGGGCATTCGCTTAGCTGCAGCGAGAATCAATAGCATCAGAAAAAGGTGCACGCTTCTGGTTCTACCTCCAAATGCAAAGATCATTATTAGACAGAATTTTACAACTGGCACCCTTGCACTGAATTAGTGCTCAGATAGAAGATCAAGATTGCTACTTTTAATGCACATAGACCCCATAAGATAGCAGTATCTAAATCTGTGCAAAGTCATGCTTTCTCCCTAACAGCAAAAGGATAGACGAAATAACAAGCTAATTAGATTTTCTCAGATTTCTACGCAGCTTCTAATTGGTAATGTTATTTAAAAAACAAACATTTGATGCTTTACTTGGGTCAACAAACATTCATAATCACTAACTCGCAGATAAAAACGCGTTGAGGATAAAGAAAC